ATGACCTAGTTTAGGCTAACGTAGCAGCTAACATTATCTAGTTTAGGCTAATGCAGCAGCTAACATTATCTAGTTTAAGCTAACGTAGCAACAGCACATATAGTGAACTGGAAGCTCCTCCTCCCGTTAGCAGCTACCGTCGCTACTGTGAAGTTGTGTGTGCAGCAGAGTTTCTGTTGAAATACATCCTTTAGATTTTCCTTTGGAACTGGTATTGATGAGACTTTCAGGGGTTTATCGATTCTGCGACGGTCACATCCTCGTTAACGTTCCGTCTCTAGAACCTGCCAGAGGGGGAGCCGGTCCTAATTCACCTCCACTGCTCACTGTGTTCTCCGTCAACGCCGTCTACATGAGTTTTAGTTTCATTTAGTTGTTCTGCGTTTGTTTTTCATGCTGTTCTAAGTCCTTTCTCTGCCTGCTTCCCTTTCAACTAGTTTCCTTTTCATTATATTAAAAGAGTTAGAAAATGTTCCAGAGAGCTTAACTATGATCCTGATCCGGCTGTAAGCACAGCTTGGATATTAAAACACTTTTGGAGATTAGGGATTGTTTTCACAATTAGTTTACCTACAGCCTAATGGTAATCATGATAAGTGCTCTCTAAAGTTCCCACAGTGCATTGCAGTGACTTTATTTAGTCTAAAACTGCCAAATTTTTAATTCTACATCAGACTTGACAAAGAAAAGCACCGAATCCTCCTGTGTGAGAATCGAGAACCAGCAAATGTTAAAGCCTCAATAATTATTTAAAACTGCTGTTTATTAATCAATTAGGATGTTCAGTAACTTTTTAAAACCAATAATGAACCTTCTGTGGTTCCAGGAGGATTTACTGGCTGCTTCGGTCAAATGTGACGTAAACTGAACATCTTCATGTGTCTGTTAGCTGGAGATAAGTTTCTAGTAGAGAACTAGACGTTCTAACCCTGTGAATAAACTCTGTGTTTGCCTGTTTCAGCCTGTTGCTGCTAAAATGAGTCTGAGAGCTCCGGTTCTCGTCAGCCTCAGACAGTCTGATCAGTCGGTGAGCGCCGACAGGTCGACGCTCTGCGGCAGGAGGAGTTGGGTGATGTGAGAAAGGCAGCTGTCAGTTAGAGCACGTCAGTCTTTGGCATCGTGTCTGCTGGCGTGTCTGCTGTCGCTACGTGTGGTGAACCTCGTGGAACATCAGCTCTTGAGGGATCGGCGTCTCCGCTCCGTAGACCTTGGCGGCGCGACGTTCAAACGCCGACACCATCTGCTTCACCACCTCGTCGAAGAAGACGTGAGCGAGCTGGGAGTGGAGCAGGGAGCGGAACTCGAAGGAGATCTGAGGAGGACAAAGTCAGTGCGTCAGAGGGAAACACATCCAGACCTTCCAGGAAAAACCAGGAAACAGAAAACCGCTTCTCCTCACAGCAAAGTCCACGGTGCAGGTTCGAGGGTAACCAGGAAGTCCAGGGCTGAACCGCCACACCGTCTCCAGGTGGTTGAAGAGCTTCCCGTCTGAGCAGGACGCCTGCAGACAAACACAAGAAGCAGAAAGTCAGAGCACAGATTCACGTCTCATGTTTCCTGTCCAGAGTGAACGCTGTCACCCTCCAACCGTGATGAGACTGTTCTCAGGATAACTTCACTCGTTATCTCGCTCACTACAACCAAACATGTTTTGTCTCGATTCTCCAGAACATGTTGGCCGTGAAGATCTTCTATCATCAGATATGATTTAGATTTATTATAACAGCCTTTACATCAAGGAGAAGCACATTTCATGCATTTAAATTGTGTGTTTACGTGTATCTCACTACAAAAGTCTCTTCATCACTCTGGAGGAACCTGTCTTTAAACTGATAACATCTGATGGGGGAACTGTGTGACCTACATGTGCTGAGCGCTGAAAAGACGTGTCATTATTTCACATGCAGCAGCCAGCGGTAGGGAACCAGGCCAACGCTGGCGGGACGTTCTGGTTACGTTCTCGTCATGTTAGCTTAAGACTGCAACAAGTTGGTTCACGTGCAGTTTGAGCTTCAGCAGGAACACGGTGTTCCCTCCAGCCCTGGACAGAAGCAGGTCAACTCGGCTGTCACGGTGGGTTTACGGCTCCAGGTTTCTAACTTTACGGACGAAATCTGATCCTCCACAAGTTCACGGTCGCCTCAGACCGCTGATGTAACGGTTAAATCACAAACGTTGGTGTTTGACCCAGTTTGTGTGAGTTAAATCCAGCCGCATGTCAGGAGGTCGGTCCGGTTCTGTTTTCTACCAGCGTTGACATCTGACAGCAGCTCACCGTTCGTCTCTCCAGCTACAGATGATTTAACCAGAGTCTGTGTGGACGCTCTCCTCCACCTCGCTGACACTAAACCTCCCAGTGTGCCGGTGTTTTCCATAAAGAGCCCATTTTATGCACTTTTATAGGTTTACAATTAGATTTTGGGAATATATTTACATGTTTGAATGGTCAGAACACACTTCTGCAGCGCCTCAGTCTAAAACACTCAGCTTGCCCTCTGACGAACATGTTAATCAGTCAGGAACACCTAATTCTGTATCACACACTGCTTCATATCTCACTAGGTTTGTAGTTGACCTTTTACACAGATAACGAAGCAGCCATTTAATGCGCTGAAGGACAAGGGGACAAACTACTAAAAGCAGAATATGGGCTCTTGATTAGGAGCTACATCTGAGAGATAAACACTGCGCTGACTTCTCCACCAAATAATCGCATGTTAGAAAACTAAAACTGGAGAAGAGTTGGTGGACTACATTTATTTTCCACCTCACAGAGCAGCTTCACCGAGCTGCTGTCCAGGTCGGCCGGAGGATTCAGACAGCTTCCAGGTTCTTCCCTCCTCCTGCAGGGCTTCAGGTCCGACTGAAGGTTGACTATCGCCTGATTCTGCTGCCGTGAGCTGCTTCACCACATCCCGACCCCCTGACAGGCTTCTGTCTACTGCTTCTGGTGCGTACTGTGATCTGAGGCTCCTGCTGAGTGTGATGAAGCATGAAGAGCTCACACAACGTCCTGATCCAAGCTTCTTTTCACACTTCACATACAACACCTAACTTTTGTCATCAGTGCAGTGTAATGGTTTGGATTTCACTCTCCTAAATCATTACTCTATTTTATCTTCTGTGAGTGTTTATTCCATCTATTAAATATATGCTATCTGCACCTGGGTGGACATAAAACTGATCGTAGTCTCTGGTTAACTGGGGCTGGAGGCAGTTCTTACCTTGACCAGGTGGGGGCGCACTGTCGTGACCAGGGAGGTGTAGTTCTCCACCACGGGGGGAAAGCCCACGGTCAGCTTGGCCTTGCAGAATCCGGATCGCTTGAACACCACGTCAGACTTCTTGCACCAGGGAACAAAGAGGCGGTAGTTTTCCACGCCGGCCACCACGTCGTAGATCTCATGCATGGAATACCTGCAGGTCAGGGGCGGACAGGTGAGACGAGACGAGGTCGTGGGCTGTAACTGGACACTGAGCCCTCAGCAAGGAGGACACAGCAGAAGACACTGACCCAGAACAGCCTTTAGTGGGTCAGTGAGCAGCACAGTGAGTGGATGGAGGCAGCTGGACTGTGTTACGTAACGGCAGGGCTCCAGCTGAGGGCAAATATCTGCACCGCCGGAGGCTATTTATACAGCAGATTTACTGATTATGACCCTGCAGGAGGACATTCAGTGCATCACACATGTAGAGCAGAGGGGTGACGCCACCGAACACTTATCCCGGTCTGAAGAGGCTCAGAGCTCAAGATTTCTATCAGTCCAACGTGCTGCAGGCTGATTTATGCTCAGTGATTCTGCATCTGTTCTACTGGATCATCTTTATTTATCGCTTCACGAGACAACAACAGAGCTGCAACGATCAGCGGTCAGCTAACAACTCCTGTGATTATTCATTCATCCATTGGAGCGATTGTTTGAGACATGAAGTCAGCCTTCAGTGTGATGTTTTCTGCTTTCTTTCCTCCTCTGTGACACTAAACTGAACATCTTTGGACAAAACAAGACGTTTGTCTTCCGTCATTTTGGGAAACACTGACGAATATTGTTTCACTTTATAAACCAAACAGATTTATTTAAAAAAGCACTGATAGTTGCATCATAACGGTGCTGTTGTGGGGAAAAAAATCTGATTTAGTTGCAAAGAGCTGATAGACTGAAAATGAATCAGCAACTATTTTATTAATGATAAATAAAGTCCAACTTATCGTAGGTTAGACAAACACCCAGCGTTATGTAAGACTCTAATCTGCATAGTTGTCCTTTAAATCACAGACGTCCTTCAGGACACTTCAGAGGAAGAACTTTTCCATTTAGTTAAATATTAATATAGCAGAACAATCACTTTTCCTTTTTCCTGTGTTTCCAGACTCTGAACTCAGCCAAGTCTGTGTTTTTTACTCTTTGCTGTGGATGTACTTGGAAAAATATGTCCCAAAGTTAAAAACATTTGTTGGTTCAAGGCTCTTAAATGTGAGTTTCTTCCTTTTATTAGTCTTAAATGACTATAAATGTGTTATTTATGAAGGACGCTGTGACCTCATTCACCATTTTCTGATCATCAGCTGCGGCCCGACCACAAACCTTCATATGATTAACCTCAGACAACCTGCAGGAGTCTCAGCAACAAGCACAACCTGTTTCCCTGGACACACCAGCACCTGATTCCTGTCACCTCTTACCTGACAAGGACATGAAACCCAGAAAACGTGGTGACTGACGACATGAAACGCTTTCTGAAGCTCTATTTGAACAAAATGAACATGAACAAGGAGAGGTGTGGGTTAAATTATTCCCAGAGGTTCCTAAATCAGGATGATCTAACGCCACATTTTCATGGTTGTATAATCTGTTGATTGTTTTCTCAACAGACCGAGCAGCTGTTTGGTCTGTAAAATACCAGAGATGGAGAAAAATGTGAATCGGTGTTGCCTAGAGCTCCAGAGGAGAAGAGAAACCAGAAAACATTCACATTTAAAAGCTGTTTCTGTGACCAACTGATCTCTGGTCAAACTAGCTGACGACTGATGGATCAGCGGCTGCAGCTCAGTATTTCAGGTTTTGAGAATTTACAGGTTCTGGTCTGTAATAGACGTGAAAAACCAGAAGAATAACCCAAAATCAGGACAAGACCACTGAAAAGTCGTCTGAGAATCTGTAGCATCACAGTAATCCAGTGATGTATTCTTGGTTCATTATAAACTGAAGCTGCGATCAGATGAGTTGTCTACCTTTAACAGCACCAACTAATCAACAGTCAGCAATTACAGGCTACAGAATGGGTCTAAAATGGCCCGTAGAACCTCAGTGCCGCTGCCAGTACAGGCCTGTATGATGGTGCTGACATGTTGAATTTCACTCTGAGCTGAGAAGGCGTCGCTGCAGACCCCAGCTCCTCCTGTGGGACTAAACCCAGTGGATCTGAGAGAAGGTGGAACCTACCCGAGGATGCGTCGCTCTGAGTACTCCTTCCTCTTGGAGAAGGAGTCGGCCAGGTTGAAGAAGCTGCGAGCCGGTAGAGCGACGGTGCGTCCCGACATGGCGCCGCTCAGCAGAGGAGGAACTCGAGTCATGAGGATCCCACATGACGACAGGTATCTGGTGACACAACAAACAGCGACGAGACGAATCAACGCAGGAGCTGACAGACACGACACGCCTCAGTCTGACCCGGGATCAACAAAATCACGACACTTCTGACTGCTTCAGACACAACATTAGCCTTTATTCAGGCAGTTTTATGTCCGTGTACTTCCTGTTTTTAACTGTTTTCTGTCTTAAAGAGGCATCGACTGACACTGATTTGTATTAATCGAGAAGAACTGATTTTTAGAACCAGCCAGTTGTGGTTAAAATGAAAATCGTTAATAACATAAAGTCCGACAAGCCTCTTTATTTAAGCACCTTCCAGTATTTACCCTTTAGCTCCTGTGATGTGTAACTAGAACACACTTTGAGAATCGTTGATCTCCAGTAGACGGTGTATTTACGGGGTATTTATCGTTGTCAGGTAATGAAGAACAGATAACTCAGTCCTCACAAACCTTCAGAAAACCCACTTCTCCATCGTCTACCTGAGACAGCATCAATCAGACTTAAGTTTTCTCTATTTCTGTCATTTCTGAGTCAAGTCCACTCAGCTTCAGTTTGACTGATATGATCTCAAGCAAACAACAAAAAAAAAAATTCTGAAAATCTACAAAAATGGAGTTATGTGTTTTTGCAAATGAACTCTTCTCTTCTGTTTTAAGTTTGTCTCACTCGTTGTCCTGTTGCCTTCTGCTTTCATCCTGAGAATAAAGTTCTTATTATTACGATGTGAAGCACAGCAGCCCGACTGTTAAGTTATTTAAGCCAGACCCTCTACCAGTTCCTGAGGAAACCCGACTCTCCAGCAAAAACACTTCCACAGGCCTCCAACCCTTTTCTAACCTTCTGTATGACGGTTCTCTGACCTTGTGGCCGAATGCTGGCTCACATGAGCGAAGGCTGCACTTACTGAATAACAGGGTCACCTGCTGCTACCCAAAACAAACACAACAGAAGAGTAGAAGCAGACAGATGAACACTGAGCCGGAGCTCTCTGTGAAGCCGAGCTGAGCTGCACATTCTTTCTTTCTTTCTTCGACGTCTCAGGTTTGCAGGAATTAAAATGTCTGCAGCGAGTGAACAGCAGCTTTAACCTGACAGCTCGATATGCAGTCGTCCTCTAATGTTTTCATCCCCTTCCATTACAGAAAAAGCAAAAATTCACAACAGTCACTCAAATAACTAGAAATTGAAAAAAGTAATAATAAATAAAAATTTGCTAAATTATAATTTAGTGAAATAAGACGTTGCTTTTGAATTGTGGTTGAAAAGCATATTTAAAAAAACAAACAAAACTGCCCTGGACAGCTAGAGCACTTAGCTGATGAGCAGTGGGTCAGAACACCTGTCAACAGGTGCAGAAGTCAAAACACCTGATGATGGCTGTGATTGGCTCAAAGGGTTGTTCAACTAAATATTAGTTTAAGGGTCCCATCATGCTGGTTTTTTTAATATTTCTGTTGAACCACAATTTAAAAGCAATGTCATGATTTTCATTAATTGTTTAGTTATTATTACTTTTGTCAATTTCCACTTGTTTCAGTGACAGCTGTTGTTTTCCTTCTTCAATGGGAGGGTATGAACACATGTGAAGACGACTGTAGCTGATAGGAAACGACTGGTGCGCCGCCAAAATGCTCTGCAAGGAACATGAGCTGCAGAGTTTTTGTTCCAGGAGACATCAAGAGACGTCTGACAATGTGGATCACAGGAAGAACTGAAGTGCAGTCTGACCTGAGCAGACTCATATACGTTCTCCTACAGCTGGTTTACCTTCTTCTGGACCTACATGAAGCCTGCTGCTGAGGATCCTGTAACACCCATGGACTAAGAACACAGTGACATCGGCAGCATTTGCATTAATTGTGTGGAGGAAACTTCCAACACCTGCCAAGCATTTGTCTTTCACATAAATCACAGTCACAGCTTCCAATAATGGAACGAGGTCAAGGGCAGCAGCTCTGGAGCCTGAATGTGCAGCAGAACCACTGAACTTGTTCCACCCTGTCTGCTCACGCTGCCAACAACCCCATACAGGTACTGTACTCTCTGTTTGGCCTGGAGCCACAAGCTGCACAATCAGGTTAACAATTTTGTCACTGACTCATCTGATGTGTGTTACATCCTGCTGGCCCAGAAACATTCAGAACAGGTCGGGACTGGTTCTGACGATTAGCTCTGTGCGACAAGCTGCTCATTACCTTTTAATGCATTTAATTTTCAGGGACAATACTGAGTATTCAGAACCCAAGAGACCAAAGACAGAACACTGAACTACAGTGATAATATTAGATGTGTTTTAGGGACGTGATTAAATTACTCAGACCAATTAATTATTTTTAAAAAAAGTTTGATAAATCATAAGTGAAAGTATGATTCCTAAGTTGTTGCTGGTGCTGATATATTACATGTAATTTACCTCAGTGAAAGGTCCGTGTGCTTCTACCACTCCTGCTGGTGTCATTAGCTTTTTGTCATGTTTTATTATTTAGTTTCTTGTAAAGCACCTTGTAACTCCAGTTTTGAAATGTACTCTGGAAATAAAGTTTATTATCACACAATAAAACATTTAAAATGTCTTTAAATCTATATTATATTGTGTTGCAAACCATTTATTAACATGTAAAGCATCGCCACGTTGTTTGGCTGTGTTCACTTTAACTGTGGCATTTACAGCACTTATGTACAGGTTTTAGTTATTTACCGCTAAATACTACACTTTTCACTTGTGTTTATTTGCTTATATAGTTGCTAGATTCATTAACTAGCTGTTATCTATTAAAACACCCGTCAACTACTAATTTAGTTTAATTTCTTTCTTTAACTCTCTAAATTCTCTGATCACAGCTTCTTCAGGGTGAATATTTTCTCCTCTATGACAGTAAACTGAAGATCTTTGGGTTGTGGACAAAACACTGATCGACTCGTGAATTACTGAGAAAATAACTGACGAGTTGATCACCAGCGACAGAACTCGTTGCAGCTCTAGTGAGACTATGATTAATGCACATATCACAGCACTGTTTAATAGTGGAGATGTGAGTATTTCCCAGTACTACTGTACAATAATAAAACTTCCTCCTCCTCTGTGTCAGTACACTGAATATATTTGGGTTTTTGGACAAAACAAGGATCGACATTTTTCACCATTTAATGAACTAATTAATTATTCTGGAACACAATCTACACATTATCCAGCTCTGAACTACCTACGCTGCCTCTTTATTATGACACTGAGACTTTTTAATAATTTTCTACTGTTTTTCAGAGAGCAGTTCTTTCGTTCTGTTTTCCTGTCATCACTGCAGACTGTATGAGCAGGTGGCCAACAAAACTCCTGAGTCCTGAACAGCCAGCTGCTGTATTACTGTTGGTTAAGATCAGATTATTGATCATCAGGAGAAGATTAGTTAGCAGCACTATGTGAGTACAGTATAATGTCATTAGGACAAAGTGAAAGAGAAACCCACATCACAGCACATACCGGATGAGCAGTACAATCTAGTAAAGTACACTATTTAGGGGGGTGCTGAATGTGTACTTTTACTTCTGGGTGGACTCTTCAGTACTTTTGTAATGTTTAGTTACTAGTAGTACTACTGCTACACTGGTACTTCTACTCCAGTGCTTGTTTTTGTCAGTAGAGTGGTCGTCCTCCTGTTAATGAGCTAACAAACTAAGAGGTGAACAGTTCAGTCTGTTGATGCTCCGACATCTTGGCTCAACTAACTTCGGTAACTACACCGGACAAGCTGCTGCTACTGACTAAAGCTGTTCCTCCACCTACTGCCCCGCTGCAGACGACATGTATGAAGTAGTTCCGTTACCGGACGTTGCTCCTGCTCGGTGCTTCCCGGCTGGCGGTGGTCGGTAGCCCTCTGAGACACTCGGCTACTCTTTGCAAGCTCCGGCCGCCTCTCGCCATCTTCCTTCTTCTGCGTCTTCACCGACCCGACACGGGTATCAATACTCGGACAGAAGCCCCGCCCCGCCACGCGTATCTCGCCTGCTATTGGATGACCCACGGACGGTCGACGTTTTCATTGGTCGGTGCGGTCGTTCGTCACTTGTAGGCGCTGACGTTGAGGAAAGTCACGAGTTGTTGACTCAGGTTACAGTTACTCCGCAGGTTCAGCGCACTTTAGTCTCAAACATACAGTCTGTCAGCTAACACCAGGAATATGTTCTAGCTTCTCTGCTGCTGTTTGGCAAATTATGGACAAAAACAGCCAGTCAGACCCGTTTATGGAGACTTTGACAGTGGACAAAAGTAACTGAGTACATTTACTCGAGTACTGCACTGTGTTTACTACAGAGTAAACAGCTGTCAGCATGAAGATTCTTCACTGAAGGTTTATTTTTGTGGTACAAGTTTTCTAAAATGTTATGTTAAATGTGATTTTTTTTTT